TCATTTGATTCTATGAATTTCTTTACTCCATCCTTAATTTCTTCTATAACCCAGTAGTTTTTGAGCAAGGTGTTGTTCAGTTTCCATGTGTTTGATTTTTTTTCCTTGCTTTTTCTATTGTTGATTTCTACTTTTATGGCTTTGTGATCAGAAAAGATGCTTTGTACTATTCCAATGCTTTGGATTTTGTTAAGACTTGCTTTATGGCCTAATATGTGGTCTATTCTGGAGAATGTTCCATGTGCATTGGAAAAGAGAGTATACTTGGCTGCTGCTGGATGGGGTGTTCGGTATATGTCTATGAGATCAAGCTGGTTGATTGTAGCATTTAGATCTTCTGTGTCTTTGTTGAGCTTCTTTCTGGATGTTCTGTCCTTCACCAAAAGTCGTGTGTTGAAGTTTCCTACTACTATTGTGGAGCTGTCTATCTCTCTTTTCAATGCTGTTAGAATTTGTTTTACGTATTTTGGAGCCCTGTCGTTGGGTGAGTAAATATTTATTATCGTTATGTCCTCCTGGTGTATTGACCCTTTAATCATTATATAGTGTCCTTCCTTATCCTTTGTGGTGGATTTTACTTTAAAGTCTATTTTGTCAAGGATTAATATTGCCACTCCTGCTCTTTTTTGAGTGTTGTTCGCTTGATATATATTTTTTCCATCCTTTGAGTTTTAGTTTGTTAGTGTCTTTAAGTCTAAGGTGTGTCTCTTGTAGGCAGCATATGACGGATCGTGTTTTTTTATCCAATCTGCCACTCTCTGTCTCTTTATTGGTGCATTTAGTCCATTTAGTCCATTTACATTCAGCGTAATTATTGATAGGTATGAGTTTAGTGCTGTCATTTTGATGTCTTTTTTTGTGTGTTGTTGACAGTTTCTTTGTTCCACTTAATTTTCTGTGCTTAGTCATTTTTCTTTATCTATTTTCTTTTCATCTTTTTCATTGTTGTTGATTTTGTGTTTGCTGAGTCTTTGTATCTTTCTAGTTTTTTATTTTGACTTGTAGGATTGTTAGTTTCCCTTGTGGTCACCTTAATATTTACCCCTATTTTTCTAAGTTTAAACCAGTCTTTTATTTCTTTATATCGCCTTGACTTCCTCTCCATATGAAAATCTAAGTCTACATTTTTTAAGTCCCTCTTTTTTGTTTTAATGTTGTCATCTTTTACATACCGATGTCTCTGTTTTCTTATTTTCAGTGTTTTAGCTTTGATTTATTTTTGTGATTTCCGTATCTGGGTTGATATCTGGTTGCTCTGTCTTGTATTCTAGTCTTGGGCTGTTATCTGATGTTATTGATTTTCTAACCAGAGGACTCTCTGTAGTATTTCTTGTAATTTTGGTTTGGTTTTTGCAAACTCCCTAAACTTCTGTTTATCTGGAAATGCCCTAATTTTGCCATCATATTTGAGGGACAGTTTTGCTGGATATATGAGTCTTGGCTGGCAATTTTTTTCCTTCAAGGCTTTATATATGTCATCCCATTGCCTTCTTGCCTGCATGGTTTCTGCTGAGTAGTCCGAGCTTATTCTTATTGACTCTCCTCTGTAGATGACTTTTCGTTTATCCCTAGCCGTTCTTCAAATTCTCTCTTTATCTTTGGTTTTGGGAAGTTTGATTATAATATGTCTTGGTGACTTTCTTTTGGTATCTACCTTATGCAGGGTTTGATGAGCATCTTGGATAGATATGTTCTCATCTTTCATGATAACAGGGAAGTTTTCTGTCAACAAGTCTTCAACAATTCTCTCTGTTTTTTCTGTTATCCCCCTTGTCTGGTACTTCAATCACTCGTAGGTTATTCCTCTTGATAGTATCCCACATAATTCTTAGGGTTTCTTCATTTTTTTCATTTTTTATCTGATTTATCCTCAAATAAGTTGGTGCCAAGTGCTTTATCTTCAATCTCACTAATTCTGACTTCCATTGCCTCAGTTCTGAAAAATAAGAAACTCTTCATGAATTTTCGCATCATCCTTGCACACAGGGACCATGCTAATCTTCTCTGTATTGTTCCAAATTTAGTATATGTGTTGCCAAAGTGAGCACTGTACTAATTGTTTAATGAGAAGCTAGTTTGTTCTGTAAACCTTTGTCTAAAGTATAAAAAAAAAAAAACTTGAATATTTTCCCATTGTGGGAAGATAAAGACAAAAATTCTTGGCTTTTGTATGGTCTGGCCCCTTCATAAATATTGAAGTCTCATATCATAACACCTTTTGCATCTTCTCTGAGTTCTAGCTCCTGGAATGTATAAGTCTTCCCACCATAAGTTCTTTGTGCATGCTGGCATCCTTGCCCACCTACATCCCCTCTGCCTGCTTAATTCGTATTTCTTCTTCAGTTCTCAATACAACTGTCATTTCCTCATTAAATCTTCCCTGACTTCCCCCCGACACCCCATGCAGGCAGCTAGGTCAGGTTCCTTTGTAATAAGTGCTCATGGATCAGTGGTCCTCTCCTTCAGGATACTCTCCAAAGCTAGCACATAGACATTCCTTCGTGGGACTAGTTGATCAATGACTATCACCTGCACGGGGCAGACTCTAAGCTCCATGAGACAGAGACCATATTGCTTTTGTCCATCATTAAATCACCAATGCTTAGCACAATGTCTGGTATATAGTATTTACTCATTAAACATGTGAAGGAAGGGAAGGAGGGAAAGAAAGAAGTTACCCACCTGGCGTTTTACGTAACTGTAGAGCAACATATTTGCACAGCATCCAGTATCAACTTGACATAAGAGCTGAAACTCAGTAGGCAGATTTCCAAGTTTCATCTTCATTCCATTCGTTGGGCAATGAGCTTGGTCAAATTGCCAATATTCTCTAATTTTTTGTTTCTTTCATTTATTTCAGTAGACAGTTGTAGAATTCTTACTAAGTGCAAGACACATATTAGAAGAACAATTCTCAGGTAGAAGACATGCCTTCTCTAGAAGAATTTCAAGGGGAAGTCTTCTCCAGAGTACAAATGAATGCACGCCCAACACAATGGGCATATGTTGAGTGTGTGAGTGAGTGAGCAGGCAGAAAACAATACAGAGATAAATAAGACAGTTCATGGTATCAAGGAACTCACTCCTGAATGTGGGAAAGACAGAGGGATAGAAATATACTACAAGGCAATTTGCTAGAATTGAGGCAAAATTATGCAGAACATAGAGATGGCGTGACTAATTCAACTGGGGGAGTAGGGGAGAAGGTTTATTGGCAACTAAAGTTGGCCCTAAATAGAAGAGTAGATAGGACCTCGTGAGTAGCCATGAGAGACAACCACACGGACCTCTTTCCAAGAATGGTGGTAAGGGCTGATAGTTAACGGGCAAGAAGGCTTCTGAAGCCTTTCACAAGAGCTTTGTGAGCATCAAGTACTGCCTGTTGAAAGCAGATCATTCTAATATATTCAACTATCCAGCAACTGTGCTCAGCTAACCAGTAAAACTACTCCTGTGAATTGAATGTATTTAAGATTTTTCCTTCATTATCCAAGGAGGTCTTGACTGACCAGCAAAATCAACTCATGGGAGAAATTATTCCAATTGCCAATAGGGGATTAGCTTGGAATGGGATGGCTCATAGCTAGAACTGATTTGTGCCCTATTGCTGCTCTTACTGAACAGCCAAATGTCTGGTACTTTTCGTGTCCCTATCAATTGGGTTTGACCCCTTGAGGGACACATAAACAAGAGTAGGTCTTTCTAGGACATGATATGGGGAGACAGAAGGCAGGGATGGTGCTAGACAAAATTGTGATGCAACCACATTTGTATGGGAGCACCTGGCTACAGCTGAACATACTGATAGTAATGGTTACTCTTACTGGGTTCTGGGCATTATTCTAAATGCTTTGTATATGTTGAGCCATTTTATCCTTACCACAACTTTAGATATAGGTAGAATCATAGTCATCCACATTTTATAGAGGAGAGAGCTGAAGCACAGAGGGGTTAAGTAACTTGTTCAAGGTCACACAGTGGTAGGATTTGAATTCAGGTGGTCTTGTTCATGGACCATGCTCTTAACCACCATATTAGACATATTTCAACCATAGAGTTGAAAGCAAAGACACTGGAGTGAGGTAAACCGGCTTTAATAGGGCTTACTGTTAACATGCTCAGCTAGTAACAAAAGGTCAGGGGCTTGAGTCCACCAGAGGTGCCTTAGAAGAAAGTCCTGGTGATCTACTTCCAAAAAATCAGCCATTGAAAACCCTATGCAGCACAGTTCTACTCTGACACATACGGGGTTGCCGTGAGTCAGAATAGACTAGAAGCCAACTGGTTTTTCCATTTTCTAGCTGTGTGGTCTTGGGCCTATTATCTAAACTTTCAGGGGCATTTGCATTGTAATAGGCCATAAAGCCTTAAACTTGGGAAACAAATCTCAGTTGGAGGAATTTGGGGTCTCAGTCTCCTATTCTTCTACCCTACCTAAGACCACAGCCCACCTCCAACTGAGCCATTGATTCTGTCTCCTGTATACTTAGCTCCAAGGTTCTTCCTTGATGGATTCTGAGTAAGGGAGCACTGAAACAGCCTCAGCCATACTAGTACCTTGAGGCCAAGTACTGGAATACTCAGCGTTTTGGTCTAATTCAGGACCCTGAGCCCCCGTGTAGCTATGCCCACTTTTCTCCTGGCATGGTTCCTCTGTCCTGTCAGGCCTTGCCTTCCTTACTCAGATGCCCCCATGCACTCTGATTTTTATGACTAGGCTTCTGCTCCAACAACTCCTTCCATGTCCTCTTTCTAGAAACCTGAATAGTACCCACTCCTGTATATAAGTTGGACCATACTTTGCACTCACCAGTACCTTTCCCCAATTCACAAGAAGGGTACTGCTCCTTAGAGCTGAGCCTCAGCTAACGTGGACCAGTCTCTCAGCTGACTACTTACCTTACCACTTGTACCACCTGCACTCCCGTAACTGCTCCACCCAGCAGGCAGATAACCCTCGTCTGTCTTCCTCCCTCCCTGCCTCCCTTCTTTCCTTCCTTCCTTCTTTTCTTTCTCTTTTCCTCCCTTCCTCCCTTCCTTCCTTTAGTGATATAATTCACCTAACATACAATTCACCATGTTAGCTATTTTAAAGTGTACAATCCAGTGGTTTTTAGTATATTCACAAAATTATGTAACTATCAACCACCATCTAATTCCAGAACATTTTCATCATCTCAGAAAGAAACCCCATACCCATTAAGTAGTCACTCACCATTTCCATTTCTGTTCCTCCCCAGCCCCTGGAAACCACTAATCTACTTTTTGTCTCTATGAATTTGCCTTTTCTGGGCATTTTGTATAAATGAAATCTTACAATATATGGCCTTTTGTGTCTGGTTTCTCTCACTTAGCATTATGACTCCAAGGATTAACCATGTTGTAGCATGAATCAATACTTCATTCCTTTTTATGAATTAAGAATATTCCATTGGATGGATATACCATTTCCGTTTATTCATTCATCAGTTGATGGGTTGTTTGGACAATTTCCAACTATTTTGAATAAAGCTCCTATGAACCTTTGGGTACACGTTTTGTGTGAATATATTTTCAATTATCCTGGGTATATACCTAGAGGTAGAATTGCTGATAACTCTAGGTTTCACTTTTTGTGGCACTGCTAAATTGTTTCCCAAAGTGGCTGCACCACTTTACATTCCTACCACCAGTGTATGAAGGTTCCAATTTCTTCCCTATTCTTGTCAGCACTTGTTATTGTCCTACCCTGGTATTTCTTGGATCCCCAGCACTGGGTGTTTTCTTGCATTTAGTAATTCCTTGAACAAAGTGGTTAAAAGAATTTGAGTTTGATGACACAGAGTCCTGACTTTGGGTCATCTCTGCCACACAAGAGACTAAGACAGCTATATTTCTTGGACAAGTTTTTTTTTTTTTTAATATTCCTAACCTTCAGTTTTCTCATCCATTAGACAGAGATAATGATAGAATTTTGGGCTAATTAAATGAGGCAATGTGAGGGAACCCATAGCACAATGCCTGTAAAGCCCTACCTCAATAAACGACAGCTCTCACTGTTACCATACTTCTTTGCCTACATGTATGGAACCCTGGCCAGTCAATCATTGCATCAGTCAATTGGTCAGTTAACAAATATGTACTGAGGGTCCACCAGGTGTTAGACACTGTTTTAAGAACTAGAAATACAGCACCAAACAGGGTTTAGGGGGCTAGAATTCTACTGGGGCAAGAACCACAATAAACATGTACATTAAAAAAAGAAGAAGAAGAGAAGATAATTTTAGAAACTGGAAGTGCCTGGATAAAATAAAATGAGTAATGTGATAGAGAGTGGAGTGAGGGGCTGCCAGCTAGAGTGGCCAGGGCAGGCATCTAGGAGGAGGGATGCTGGAGTTAAGACCTGACCTGAGACGGGAAGGCAGCCATGCAGGGGTCTTGGGGGGAGAGTTCCACACAGACGACCTCAGGCACAGAGTCGCTATAACAGGACAGGAGCAGTGTGGAGGGCTGAAGGGAGAAGAGAGCCGAGGAGTAGGGAGTGGCAGCTGCTCCCAGCACACCAGGCATCGTGGAGATGGGATAACGAGAGCCTGAGGGCTGCTGAGGCATGGTGTTTGGGACATTGACACTGACAGTGGGAACCCTGGAGAAGGACGTCAGTGAAACTGGGCCAGACCCCAAGTGTGATATTTGGCAGAAGTCCTGGGTACGGAATGTTCTCTGTAGTTGGCGGTATCAAAGGGAGCCTCATCAGAGAGCTCCAGCATGGCATGCCCTCCTCTGAACACACTGTCACTTGCTCTTGGGAAGTCCTGTCCTCTTTCGGATTTCCTTATTCCTGAGGACAGAGCCTGATCACACAGCCACTCCTGGCAGTCAGCCCTAGGAGGACAGAGTGTTGCACTTCAGAAAGAAGAAAGTCCTGGCCCAAACTCTTTCTGCCTCTCAGGGGACATGCTGGCTGGGACTTGGTGGGCTTGAACACTCGTCCTATAATTCTACACACCCAAACACAAACACCAAGGAGTCAACCCAGATAGCCCCACTCACTGCCTATGAACTTCCC